GCGCGACTGTTAGGTAGGTGTTTTACCCATAACAACGCGTGCTTTAATTCTAGATCGCAGTAAGCCAGTAAGGGACCAGCCAGGCTACCAGCTACCTGCCCTGCTCCACTGTGTTTTTACCCTTAGCCTTTTACTTACTCTAGATCCTCTTAAAATGGCCTTGCTGATATTAGTGAATGCCTCCTTCTACTCTGATTTTATATCACGACGCTGCCTTATGTTACAAGTGTTGTTAGACGTAATTTCATGTACTCTATGTATTTCCTATTTTTGTCTGTGTATGTTACATATTTTGCCAATTAACTAATGATTACAAATGACCGAAACAATATGCTATTTTTAAAAATTGTCTGTTTTCTAGAATGTAAATTGACAATTTTGAATCAGTTAAGCTATCCAGCATATTTTCATGAAGCATTGCTATTTCTAGTGTGTCCACTCAACTGTGAAAACCTCAAAAGTGAATTAATAACTATTTTTTAAGAGATACCTCTAAACTTTTGATAGGCTACTTTTTAGTGATATCAAGAAATCTTTGATTCTCTGTTTCCCCTACCATCGCCATAAATCGTGGTAATATCCTGAAATCACAGCAAAATCATTATTTTCGTATTGCCCAAAATTTGCAGATGGGTTTTACTACCCATTTTTAATATTCAAACAGTCTGTTCCAGATAAATTGCTGAAATTATAATCCAAAGAAACACCGGGACTATAATTTATCAAAATTCTCAGACCTTTCTGGCAAACAATTATAAAAGTATGGAAATTAATCCATAAAAACCGTTAATTGTAAATATCATTCTCAAGTTTAATTAGGAACCCTGTAGGTGCATTCTCTACCATGCCTCCCTCATTAGTCTATGATTTGTTTTGTAGATGTGTGAGTAAGATGGTTGTCCATTAGCTGCTAACAGCCTGTGTGGGACTCACTCAGATAAGCAGAGTGGCAGCTTCTTAACACCCTGAGTGACTACCAAAATGCTAATCAGCATATCTACCTCCTCCGCCTTCTAAACGGGCCCAATACTCTAGGATTATCCAATTACTACTCTTTAGAGTCATCTTATCGCTGTACTGAACCAGTAAACGAGCAATTTGTGTCTATTTATTTATTTCTTTTGGCTATCTCAAAAACAGCTCTTACAATTCAGATGAAAATTTGTTTATGGTAGATGTTAAGCAAATTTCCCATATAGGGATTAAGCTATTACCGTAGTACTCATGGTAAGACCTGGACCCGGGACCAATTTAATTTTTCGTTTTGAGGTCCCTAGAGGCAAAAAACACCATCCGTTCAAATTCATATATATGTGTCCGTTAGCACGATAACTCGAGCAAAAATTATCCGATTTTGATAAAATTTGGTATAAACGTGTAAACCTACATTTATTCGAACAATTTGCAAACCAGCATGATGGGACTATAGGAACAGTGTTTTATGGGGTAATCAATTTTTCCACTTTTGACCCTAAAACATAAAATTTTTCAATTTCTTTTGCAACCATTTTGTAGAGCTTAAAAAACAAATAATTTAGTATGTTGAAGTGTTATCATGCACCTAATGATACAGAAAATTCCAAAAAATTGTAATTTTAAAATTCTTATGTTATTTTTATGGAGAAAAAATCAACTGTTGTATTTTGACTGTTTATGAACATATTTTGATAAAATTTGGAAAATGTATTTTTATACTAAACTATTAACATTTCACACAAAAAAAAAACTTTTTACCCTCCCTGTTGCAGCAAACCTAAGTACTCGTTATTTATATAGGGGAATAAATGTGATATTTTTTAGGAGATATTTAATTGCAAATCCAATCAGGCAAAGGCTTAGTCTGCAGGTTTGCTGCGGCGGGGGTATTTTATATTACTGTATCTTATTATATTGAGCAATTTCCTGTGTAAAATTTCATATACAGATTTTTTGTGGATATCCAAAAGTAGCTGTATGAAAAATGAGATGTGTTGGATGAAAATTAGAATTTTGGCAGAGTTTCATTTTTCAAGTTCATTTAAAAAGGTGTTGTTGGCAGTGGATGCAATCTAGGAACTGGTAGTTGTAAGTTATCAAAATAGGTAAATGCAAATACTGTTGGTAACTTCTCTGAAGATGGCTATCTTGAGGTGCTGCTTTCTTCTCCTTTTTATAGGGATAGGTGGGAAATTTGAATGAATGGGTTGTGGTTATGTTTGAGCGAAAATAAAAAAGGAAAAACTAAAATGTCTTTGGGATTTTAGAAATTAAATTAAATTAAGTCTGCTCTAACAGGTGTCATCCCTTGAAAATGTTGTTTTTCACAAAGAATTGAATTCAGAAGATTAAAATTGAAATTTTTCATCAATGAACATAAAATGTAATAGTTATAGGAACTTTCCCAACAGTTTACTTATACTCTAGGTTAATGGTTATTTAATTGTTGAGTGGCTATTGTCAACAAACTTCCCTTACAGATAATAAATCAACTGAATAGAATCAAGTTCTATGAATCAGTCCTTTAAGTATGTGTCTGCAGTTGCTAATTTGAATTTGTCAGTAAATGCCACTTTATAATTTATTGTTTAGCTTTTTGTGGAGATACTTAGATACTGGAATACTTTCTTAGATCTCCAACTCAGAGTACTAAAAAAAAACAAAAGGACAACGTTGCAAGGTGTAGCCATATCCAAAACAAAATCAAAGAATTTAATAGTGTCTCATACTGTGTACTTAACTCATCTCCGCCTTGAACTTTTTCTACTAATGTGGTGGTGGGTTCTTGGTCAATCAATTAGTCAGGGATGCAGTTAGTAGTATAGTATTTAAGAGGTCCTCTTTGTTGGAGGTTCCAAGGTTTTATTCCTGACAATCATCAATTAAGTTAAGTTATAAATTATTGTTGCGATTTGCTTGTTTGGAGCCAATCGGGCTGTATGTCCAACCATTAGAAAACAAAGATAGGTAAATTTTTTGGACAAGAACTTTCTCTTTCTTAGAGAACTAAGAGCTATATGGGAGTTAGTCAGTCAATCAATCGTATTTAATCACTGTTAACAATAATGAATTTTACACAGTTTAAACATTCTTGTGTAAAATTTTCAAAAAATAATTATTTCAAGGTATTAAATATGAACTAAATCGCTCAAGGTTAGAAGACATGCCGAGCATTAAACCAGTTTCATAATGTATGGCTAATGCAGCCAAATTCGCCCAACATTGGCGCATTAATTTCTCATAATTTGATCTAAACTGCTGCTCTTGATCTAAATACCTGGATTCTTTCATCTTGGATGACTGTCTAGACAAGATGATGAAAGTTGGGTTCCAAGTAGCTCATTGTCAGATTTGATATCCTGAACAATTACACGGTGGCAAGCACGTGAAGGCATCGTGGAATATTCCAGGAAAGAAACGGCAAACTTGAGCAAGGTGAAAGCTTGTATGATGCAATACGAAGATAAATTGATTCATGACACTTACTAAGAGCCAATATACTCGATATACAGGATGTTCCACGAAGAGGTTGCTTTTTTTATGAATACACTAGACGTATCAAACATGCTACAAATTTGAATATCTACTGTTATAACAAAGGTACATTTTACACATCTGCTGTGTAAAACATTTCCTCCAGGGAGTATAACCTACTTTGGTCGACAATATTTAGTGCAGGTTGTGTAAGTTTTTACACTAGCAATTTGTAAGAATTTTACTGGGTTTATAGTAGTGACGACGCAACTGATGCCGAATAACGCCTTGAACTTTTAATTTTACTGGTTAATTCTTTGACGGATCAGATTCTTTTATTTATAACTAGCTGGCCCGACAGACGTCGTCCTGTCCTAATGTGGTTTTATGTCAAATGCTCGTTCATTTTCAAGATGAGCTCGTGCGCATGGCTCAATCACGTCCAGGTTGAAGTTCGTTCGCCATGCTCACTCACCTTTAGGTTGGAGCTCGTTCGCTGCGCTGTTTGCCTTCAGTTACATTTGACAACAAATATTCGTAAAAAACAAATGGAATAGAAACATATTTGATAGCTCTCATTTGTTATGCATAGATTTGTTTTTAAAAATTAGGTTATCATTACAACAGCTGTTTCCTTAATTTAATTTAATCAAGAAATGACAAACATGGCATGGTAAACAAAATAAAATATTCTTCCATAAGATTAACATGTAAACTGCAAAGGGCCATAGGACGCTTCCCTTAAGGGTTTTTGAAACGGAAACATGCTATTATGTTATTCTAGTACCTAAGGAATATCCCTGTAAATTTTCATGCCAATTGGTTCAGTAGTTTTCTAGTTATAAACGCTTTAACTAACACAACTTTCTTTTATATATTAAGATATTGAGCATAGTATAAAAACATATACAGTGGATTCTCGATATCAAGTCACCCTTGATTACAAGTGTCATTTTCAAATACCCTTGAATTTATTTTACCCCTAATCACATACTATTGCAAACCTCAATAACAAGTTGACCTTGATAACAAGTCTTATTTAATAATCCCCTTGGTAGTCTTGTTATCGAGGTTCTACTGTATTGAGCGTCGAATAAGCATCTTTGGTCAGACAGCGCATAAAGTAAGTCTAAAGCTCCCAGATACCCCTGGTCTGTTAGAAAAGTCCCCCCAATGGGTCCTGCATGTCCCTGAAAACGTACAGTAATTTATCCCCAATTTATATTAATTATCTTATATGTTTTGTTTTTGTTTTGCCAAAACTACAAGATGCTTGCATGCTGTGTAAAATGTTTAAGTTTGAGGTAAGAGGTAGCTGAGAACTGTGTTGTCAATTAATTTTGTTTAACTGTGAACTGTGGTGAATAGAACCTACATCTTTTGTTAGCCAACAACTTTTTGTATTAATATGGTAATATTTTGAGAAAAATCCCAAAAGAATTATGTATGGTAGAAGTTGACGACACTCTGATTATACTCATCCACCACTAATTGTTTCACTGGCATTTCACTTGGATTACAAAGTCTAATGGGGTGTGTTTGTTTAACAGATGCTGAGGAACTGTCTGTGAAGATGGGACTGATGCAGAGTCAGAGTGTTGCATCTAGTGCGGCAGACGGCATCAACACCAACATCTACCTGGAAAACCTCCTGGGTAAATATTGGATGTGAAACGTCTCTTAGAGTAAATGGGGCTGGAACCATTTAGGATTTGTTTGAGACAATAGCATAACAGTTGTTCCATACATTGTTAGTACAGTTGACTCCTGATAAGCGGACACTTGGGACTAGGAAGGTGAAACAAGTAGGCATTTCATATAAAAAATTATCATACAAGTTTTTACCATATGCGTACACTTTGGATTATCTTTTGCTTTAGTTTTTATTAATTTCTTTTGTAAAATTAAAATCTGCAAACTTTTTTTATAAAAGCCTTTTAATATGGTTAGAGGAATCACAAATGGTTCAACCTGATGGAAACGTCTGGTTGAGTTTCTCATCTGTCGGAAAATCAACTTTTTATATGTCTATTGACTGCACATAATTCGTTGAAGTTAGGAGGTGTCAAGGCGTCAAGGTGGGTCTGATTTATTTTTAAACTAGTGTACATGTTGCTCGAATTCGAGCAATTGCAAAGTATTACAGGAGATATTTCAAATCGAATAACAGTCATATTTACAATGAGTTTAAAAGAGTAAACTCAAAGATTACCGGTATGTAACTCAGACCATGTTTATCTTCGTTATTGATAAACCTAAAGCATTCCGGCCGGTTATCTCCTTCTCAAAATGCCTCGCTGTACAGGCAACACAGGTCATTGATAGAGGGCATATTGAGGACAAAAAGTCGTTTTGGGGTAGTGTTAGGGGGCATTTGTAACCTAATAAATAGTTGAGACTGTCCATAGTCAGGTGCTGACTCTGATGAGTTAAGCCTATTACGCGCCACTGTTCTGTAGCTGAGGTCGTTATCACGATTACGCCTCCTGTCTATGTTTCGTTGTCGTCGCGTTGGAGGCATTTAAAAGAAAAAATCAACAAATAAACAAATTATAGCTACACAAAACAACGATAAATGCACAAATTTAAGTTAAAATCATGCTAACACGATCCGTCATTGCTACACAAAACAACAATATATACACAAATTTAAGATACAACCATACTAACACTATCCGTCTTGGGGGTTATGTTTACACAAAATCAAATAGTAAATAAATGTACTCAATGCGCTTCATTGAATTGAAAAATAATTAACAGCAATTAAATTATACAGCTGATCAAAATGTAAACAATTATGTTCTTCATAAGGATAACATGGGAACTTTCAAAGCCACTGGGCCAGAGCCCAAGGGACTTTTTCAAAAATGTAAGGCCAGTTTGCAAATCTACGCGACACGCTCATTCCAATGAGATGTCAATGGATAAAATCGGTTAAGAAATGACGGAGGAGTTCAACCGACAAAGTTTCATGTAGCGTATTAATTATATAGATTCTCTTATCTTTAAATAAATATGAAAACAGTGTTTCAAGCCATTCTATTGTAAAAATGGATCACAAAAGATTGACCTTTTAATCAAGCTTTTCAAGGACAAAATATTTAACATTTTGTTCCTGAACGAAACTGCTATCACATTACAAAGTACAGACCCATGTAAAAGACAAATTTATAATGTTTGACCTAATGTCAATTTTTTCTAAGAAGAATAAACAGTAAAAGCAATGAGCCATCAAAATCAATCAAGGGATATTCCCATCTGTTCAGATATTTAATTGATTGACATTCTGCCGTTTCCAGGTCCTGTCGGCCACATTTTGGTCTTTTTGAACACTGTTGCTTTCTACAGAGTCTGTCAAACTTGAGGTACATGATACCATTTGATCTTGCAAAAAGTTCTTCCTTAGGCAGGTGTCTAAGCCAAACTACAATCCAAGAGTGTTTTCTTACCTCAAATTTAGATGTGTCAAATCTAAAATCTCGCCAAACTGCTTACACTTCCCACATGCGGTATCTGGATTATAGTTCTTCTAGCAATACATACAGGGTGTATATAAATTCCCGCACAGGCTTAATATTTTCTAAACGACAACAGATAAATCAATAAGTACATTGGTACATCAACACCACACCTAAAAATCTACTTTTTCAAGGAACTATTAATTTTCTGTCATATCATGGGGACGCCCCGCAAGGAGTCAGAAGTAAATCTTAAATAGAAGTATAGATTTGGACAAGGCCTTTAATAGCAGAATACAATGCCACAAATTTGAACTAAAACAGACTACCGAGTCAAAAATGAAAGCCATTCATAGATTTCTTGTTTCTGCCGTTTTGAATCTTTGAATGGCTGCCATTTTTTACTCAGATGTTCTTATGAACTCAAATTCGTGGCATTGTAATCTGCTAATAAATACCTTTGAATTGATGTGCATACCTACCTATGCCTACGTGTAAGATTTTCTTCCGATTCCTAGAGGCTGCCCCCCTGAGGAAGTCACGTACAAGCATAGCAAATTCAATGAATCTTTGAACCGCTGTCATTTTTGACTCAGTTGTTGTTTGAGTTCAATTTTGCAGCATTGTATTCTGCTATTAAAGGTCTTTAATTCGATGTACAAATCAACCTATGCTCCTATTTAAGATTTCATTGTGACTGCTTGTGGGAGTCCCCATGATAAGACTGAAAATTGATAGCTCTTTAAAAAAGTAGATTTTTAGGTGTGGTATTGATTTATCTGTTGTCGTTTAGAAAATATTAAGCCTGTGCAGGACTTTATATACACTCTGTATACAATGACAATGTGACCATGTTAACCATGTATCCCCGAGCTGTGCTGATCAGACATCTTGATACTTAATTATCTTTTGCCAATCTTCATTATGTATTTATATTGAAAACGTTATATTTGTTTTTCAGAAAACCAGAAAAAGAAGAGCGGCAACATCTACACCCAAAAAAGACCGCAAAGCTAAGTGGGATACTCATGATTACAAGGATTGCATTTATCTGTAACATATGTTTTATAAGTAATATAATTTAGTTTAATTTTTAATTTTAGGACAGTAAGATGATTAAGGAAGAACCATCAAGAAAGATAAATGTAACTCAATTGAACATTTTGCATTTTGATAATTCTCATAAGATCTAGAATCAGCAAAACTTATTGTCTTTTATACAAAACTCTTTGGGTCTAGTGTTTAGTCACATTTTGTTTAATTTTCTTCTACATCTTTCCTTGTTTCAATATATCTAATATATTACTTTTTAATCATTAGTATTTTGAAAAATACTCTTTTAATATGATTTGTAATAAGAATTCAATATTTTAATCCTTTCTGATGGATAGAATTAACCAGAATGATCACAGCACATTACTTTGGAAATAATTCTATATTATTTTATTTTTGAACCATGACAATTGTAAGACTCTTCAAGCTATGCGTAACATGTATATGTCTTTTAATGTACTTAATTGAAGTGTTAAGTGGAAAAACTACTCTGGGTAGTTTTGTAATTTTATAAAGTATCTAATTTATTTGGTTTTATCTATAAGATCTGAAATGACAATTATGTCATTTATGACACTTAATACATCACTTAATGTCTTTAGAACTGTTTAAGATATCTCATAATATATTTGTACTATGTGCCTTATGTATGTGCCTTAATGTGAACTATTATATTTTTTATAACTTTTTACACTCTAATCGTAACATTTTTTAAGGTTTGAAGGATTGTGCACGATCCCAATGTTTTACTTTAGTGTGCAAAAATCATAGTTAGTTAACTCATGAATGTAAAAGTAAAAAAAACTTGATTTGATTACAGCCTATTTGTTAATGTTTTATTGATCTTACCAAATGCTATATTTTAACAATTTAGTCCATACGTTATTTAAAGCATAAAGGTTTCTTGTCTTGCTACACTTACTAAAGTTATTGAAAAATATTTCTTTAAAATTACTAGCTATTTGTATACTGACTTTATTTTTGTTTAAATTCAAAGAATACTCTCTATAAAATAAACAACTTTTGGAAACTGTTTTCCATCTCACTTATTAGATTGTAAATTATCAAACAGTATTTTTTTTCTATTGTTTTATCTGTCATTTAAGCTATAATTTTGAATGTCCTTATGGAGTATAGACTTTTAAAGTTTTTTTAAGAACAAACATAAAATATTCTTTATGATGCTGAGAAATTATTTGAATCTTCATACATCCAGGATAAAATTGTAACTAATTCTCTAAATCATTGTATGGTTTTGTTCACTTTATTTTGTACTTAGTGTTTTTGTAGATGTATTTTACAATACATATACAAAGATAGACCGTTTTCATTTTTCATTGAAAATTGTATCTTTGTATCTTAGTTGTGTTCTTATCATTTGGCTATTTTACCAAAACAACCTTCTTGATAAGATGTTTTACCTTATTAATAGGTTTTATTTTATTTTTAATTTTCAACTATTTTAAGTTTATAGTTTTTTATTGTTCATCTTGCAGTATGATTTTAAATTTACTTCATTTGTATTATTTTACGCCACAGTACAGTACAAAACTATACATGACCAATATAAACTATAACTACTTATCTCTCAGAAATTAAAAAAATTAAATTTTCTCCATCGACCAATCCACAAGTTCTTATTTCTTAATAAAAGTTGTAATTTTAAAATGTACTTTCAGCCGAAGATCACAACATATTATCATATGGCTTTGAGTGGAGAAAATGCTCAAATACATAGATAATTATCCTAACCTGCAAGGCCTAATTGTTAGTTTTCTTAAAAGGTCGTAGCCCACCTGTGTCATGACATTATAGCTAAAACCATCGGTGGTTGGTAGATTCGTACCCGGAACTCGTGGACAGAAGTCCCACAATAGACCAGCCTTGTCTTAGTTTCAGTTCTCAACTGCTGAAATGTAATACTGATTATACTTGATTACAAAACTATTATTTTGGACAACCAGAGTTTTATGCTGTACCAGTGCTCAAAATGTTATTTTATGTGCTAGAGATATGATATAGCGCAGTATAAAAATAAGATCTACAATGATATCAAGATTTAAATTCCATTATTTAAAAAAGAATGATGTAAATGTTAAAAGTACAAATTGTGTTCCTCATTTTTGGTTTATTATTTATATGTAATGCAAATTACTAATAACTCATTACTCAACTCACTGAACCATTGGCTATTGGTATAGTCAAAGCTAATACATTTATGTCTTTGTACGCTTTTCTGTATTATTACTCTGTAAATTTGTGTAACAAGATTTGTCTCCTCGTCAAACTGTGTTTTAATAAATATACTTAAGTTTACAATATGTTTTGTTATTTTTAAGGTATAGCTCCTTGGTATGATGGTTTATGACACTCTTTTTAAAAAGCTTTTAGCAAATTTCCTATATAGCAAATAAGCTAATAATGTTGGTCACGTGTTAAGACCTAGATCCGGGACTGATTTAGTTTTTCATTTTGATGTACTCAGAGGCCAAAAACACCATCCGTTCAAAAGAGTACCCCTCCTTCCTACAGGGTTGGTGTATAAGTTTAGGGTGCTTATTGCAGTTATGTGCTTTGCGTTTGCAAAGGAGGATGCAGTTTTTGATATTTTGTTCGTAATATTTTCAATAGTCAAAGCTTGTAGGGCACTTCACCTACCGCAGACCACGGTATGGCATGTTTTACGCCATTATTTGATTCAAAACCTGTACAAACTGCAGTTAAACAAGCATTGGAGCTTACTGACAAGCAGTGGCAGTTTCAAGTGGGGGCTATATGGGCTAAAGCCCCCCTTATGTTATAGTCTAAAATATAAATTTAAACAGTTTGTCATAAAACTTAATGTAGGCTTGGACACAGTTCCAGACATTAAAAAGGCTTTAGAAATAGCAAATATTCTTTGAGAGGACCCCGGACCCCCTCCTGGTGTGGAGCACCCCGGGTACCCCCCCTTGACAAGGTACTAGAACCGCCACTGCTGACAAGCTAGAAGGCTCTGATGTTTGCCTTGATATGATCATCATTTGAAAATTATGGCTTTGCTGAGGGACTAGTGTTAAGTGAAGAGGCTATCTTACATGTTAGTGGACAAGTCAATCACCATAATATTCCCACAAAAGTGATGTCCCACCTACATATAAGTATGTTTTTAGGATGGAACTTCCCTAAAGCTGGGTTTTCCTTTATGAGCGTGGAGAGAGGAACGCGGAGAGCGGACTCCTCTTGTCATAGGTAGTTTAATGTTACCGTTTTCCTAGAAGCGGAGCGGAATGCCATGTTAATCGCTTTTCCGCTCTCCGCGTCTAGGAAAACCCGGCTTAAGGGCCCTTTCACACGAGGCCACTGGTGGCCGCCACCGGTGGCCTCCACTGGTTGCCCGCCACAGCTTTAACATTATTTTAAATGGGACCTTTCACACACAGCCACTGTAGTTGCCCGCCACTACACAGTGGCCGAGCAGTGTCTTCTCGCGCAACTGCTAGTCGGCCACCGCCGGCAACTGCAGTGGCGGCAACTCGTCGCGGGGCATTGAATTAAATGGGAGCTTTCACACGTAGCAACCAGTGGCCGCCACCGTGGATGAGCACGCAGCTACTATTTTGCACCAGTTCACGTGCAGACTGCAAAGACAAACGCACTATGGTTGTAATTGTTGAGTGTTTTCGTGTTGAATTGTTTGTTTGTGAAAATGAGTGATCAGAAGAAAAATAAAGAGGACGTTGCTGAAAAAGAAAAAGGAAAACAACAGAAGAAGAGAATAGACAAAATAATAGAAAACAAAGTGGATGCTGATGATCTAATTTACAAAATTGAAAAGTAACCGGCTATTCGGTATAGTACGCCTGTGTCTTTGCCTTATTTTCTTTATTATCAACGCGAGAAGAAGGAGATGTTCATTGTTCGACAGCATTTTCACAACTACCAGTACAGTGGCTGTAGTAGAGTGGCTTGTAAGTTGCCTGTACCATCCCTTCAGTTTCCCGGCCGGTAACTGGTGGCGGACACCGGTGTCCGCCACCAGTGGCCTCGTGTGAAAGGGCCCTAAGGGATAAGGGGGTTTAGAAAAGCCAATAGAGTTGATCCAGTTGTATAGAGATTCACCTGAACTAAATGTTCTTAAGTGCACTTAGCAACCATAAAGTGAAGTGCACTTTTCATTGAACTATTAAATTGTAAGTGGAATATTGTATTTAGATATCTTGTCAGAATGGCTCATTCCTCAGCTAATAGAAGATTTTCCAGAAATAGTTTTCCAGTTAGATGGTGTTCCTTCACATTTCAAGTCGCCAGACCGTTGGATTGTACGTTGTGGACATGAAGCCACTAAAGCCAGTCCTTTGATGTGCTAGCCACCAAAATTTTATGGCCTCGACCTAACTCCATGTGATTTTTTTTCTTGTGGGAGTTTATCAAAGGCAAAGTGCACTGCCCCAAAAAAACCCTGCAAGAATTAAGTCGTTAATAACAGAAGCCGAGCAGTCCATACCCAAGAAATGCTACAGATTGTCTGGACTGTGTTGGAATTTTTTCCTGGATAATTTGCAGAGTATCTAATGGAGCTCACATTGAGCATTTGTAATGCATAACAATGTGTTTTAACACTTTTAACCAAGGCCACTAAAGAAACAGGCCGTAATGTTCGTCAAGCATGACGTCACGATAGAAGACGGCAATGATGTGATGTTTGCCATTTGTGATCAGCTGCTTGTTTTAATCTTTACTTGGAAATTAATAAATAAATACCTACGTCATTGCCGTCTTCTATCGAAACGTCATGCTTGACGAGCATTACGGCCTGTTTTTTTATTGTGGCATTGATTTAACCCATTGGGGAAGGAATAATTGTGCTGCCTGCAGTACCCTCTGTCGGCAATTAGTTTTACTGAATTATTAGACGTTTACTTTTATTGTTATAAAAAAAACTTGGGTAGTAAAAATAAATAAACTTGATTTACAAATTCCATGATTAATCCAGACATCAAATGACACTCCGTATAATTAAAAAGTTCAATTGATTCCCTACCTAGAAAATCACAAGTTGTTTACTTTTATGAGTAATAACGAAGAAAAATAATTGTTTGTTTTATCTTACCGCAGCTGATTTCGGGTGATATCTGGGTTCCATGGCAACACAACCTTGTTTGTTATTCGCAAAAAAAATTAATAAATACGCAAAACAAGAAGCAAGATATTTATAAACATCATAAAAGTAATAACTAGATTTTTATGATGTAAATGACTTATTTCCGTCGCATACACAGACTTTTTTACCAAGTTAAACTGATACTTGTTGTAAGCTATAGCATTTCATATCAACGAGTCACTTTGACGAGGGTCATTTTAGAGCTTGAGGCTTGGCGGGGCGATATCAGTGACCGGTGCCACGGTGTGGTGGGTATAGGGGTGGAAAGATTGATCGGGGGTGTGAGCAAAATTTGTTTTAGGGTTAAAATAAAACTATAACCTAACCTAACCAAACGTGCTGATTATGAAAAAAAATTTAATGAAGGTTTTCTAATCGAATCGATATTAATTTTCAATTTATATTAGGGTAGCCCAGTTAAGAAACTATACCTGGTCTCCGCAACACCCTGGCCACTACAACCCCCTTCCATTAATGCCCCTCCCCTGAATCACTCTTACGCTCTGGGGAGTCAAAGTCAAATGGCACTCGGACCTATCTGACGGTTTTGACAGTTTATGACCCCCAGGGCAAAGAATAGAACGGCACTCGCTCCGTTTCTCCGTACAAACTATCTTAGTACCAACAAATAAGGTAGAAAATATAATTAAAAACACTACTAATCTGTGTCTGGCTCACTCAACAACCTTCATTTTTCTGTAAAAGATTGGCAAAACCTGCCAACTGGTCCATATAGGTTGTATGTCATACAGTACTTAAGTCAATGCTAAAATATGTTAATGTTGTTTTTAGCGAATTTCCCATATAGGGAATAAGCTATTACCGTAGTACTCATGGTAAGACCTGGACGCGGGACTGATTTACTTTTTTGTTTTGAGGTCCCTAGAGGCCAAAAACACCATCCGTTCAAATTCATATATATATATATATTTATATATATATATATATGTGTCCGTTAGCACGATAACTCGAGCAAAAATGATCCAATTTTGATTAAATTTGGTATAAACGTGTAAACCTATATTCATTCGAACGAGTTCGCGAACCAGCATGATCGGACCATGGGATCGGGTGTTTATGGGGGGTTTTATGTGGTAAAAATAGGTTTTTCCCATTTTTGACCCTATAAACACAACATTTCACAATTTCTTTCCAAACCATTTTGTAGAGCTTAAAAAAACAAATAATTTAGTATGTTGAAGCATTATTGTGCGCCTAATGGTTACGGAGAAAATTCCAAAAAATTTTAAATTTAAAATTCCCATGTTATTCTTATGGAGAATAAGTCAACTGTTGTAATTTGCTTGTTTATGAACATATTTTGATCGAATTTGTAAAATACTTTCATTTCTTACTAAACTATTAACATTTTACAACAAAAATCACCTTTTTACCTTCCCTGTTGCAGCAAACCTAAGTACTCGTTTAACTAATTGTATTTAAATAGGGAATAAATGTGATATTTTTAAGGATGCATTTTAGTGTAAATCCAATCAGGCAAAAGGAAATTCGCTTAGTCTGCAGGTTTGCTGCAGCGGGGGTATATTTGTATTATAAATTACTAAAGTTTTCCATTGTTTCTCTAAAAAACCTATAACAACCATCCAACTTCTGCTAGGGTTGAATAATAAAATCACTTTGTACAAAACTTGTTTAATATACATAAAAATGACTAAACCTAACATAAGTCATGTTTTATACATTTGTATATTCTTAAGTCTCTAACTCAAATAACAGACCTACTTAAGTATAAAATAGTAAACTAATTTCAACCAAGACAATTACTACTATATACATGTTAAAATACTTAATATAAACAATGGAAAAACACAACAAACAAGTGCTTTCATTTGAAAACAGTCATTTAATGTGTTTTATAACAAAACCAAAGTAGTATAAAGAGTTACACAAAAATACATCTATCTAGAGTTCTTGCTAAAGATATTTCCTGTAAAAATTGAATTAATAAATCATAAATGGAGCAACATAATTTATGAATAAAAAAATCACATTCCTAATCATAAATGGCAATCATGGATAAAACTCTGAATAAAATAGAATGACTTAATTGTGCCTATTTAGTTTCATCTTGTACAAAATTAAACAACAAAATGTTTTAAAAAGCTTGGATACTTACTTACTTAGATACTTGGAGAATTCCCACTGGTATCGCATCAGCGACGTGGTCGTCAGGTTTTTATACTTTTCTTGCTTTTAATTAATATAAAATTGATTCATTTCCTCTTCATGCACATGGCCTAGACATATATTTCATCAACACTGTAGTAGGCCGCTTGACTAAGCTATTATATCAAAAAAATTATTAAGGACTCTATAAATTACAATAAAAGTTCTAAAATGAATCACATTAATGGGGGATATTAGGCAGGGTTAAAACTTACAACTACAGTTCAATAAATAAACTAAGCGAAAATCTTTAGGCTAAATATTTACAACATGAATTTCAAATACTTGTACAAAATACTTGAGGCACATTATGCTAGTTTAGCTTCTTACAAAAACAGTTTCTTCTGGAATAATCAGTCCAAGACCTGAAACAATGAAAACAGTTTTGAGTATAACCCCTATAACCCTTTGTATAATTTTCTAATACTTACAGAATTTGTTAGCTAAAATTTTGTAAAAATCCTGATTATTTTTATTATCTTGCTTTTTCCCATTTTTAACAGTAGGTTGTAAAAACATATCTGTTGTAACACAGAACATATTACAAAAACATTTGTTCGAAAAAAAAATTCTTTCTGGCTATTAAATATATTTTTTAATAACAAATGGACAATGAATTAAATTTGACCAGAAGAGTAAGCCATTTAAAACCATACCTACAAGATTGTTATAGCTTAGCTAAATTTGTTTTAAATTTAAAGTTTTTTTTGTAAATGTGTACACTTTTGTGTCACTTGCACATCCAAAGGGGTTTTTGTGATTTTTAAACATAAACTAGTGAATTCCTTTAGTTCTAAAGTGAATTATTGTTTTCATTAACATTCCCAGTTGGCTTTTTCCGTTCCTTTTGTGGCGCCTTCATCTTCTTTGACGCAACTTCAGTTTAATACTGTACACAGTTTGTATTGCTTGAATGCAGGAACTGAAGTTTTAGACAAAAAATACTTTTTGACAAGCTATAAATAAACTTCCGATATTTTTATATGACTTTTAATATGCAATGGGGGTAAATAGTATTAACATATTTTTTATGAGTATTGCATCCTTATTATGTGGCTTGAAATAAATTACTGTTTTCAATCTCCAAGCCTACACAGTATTTGAGTCTTAAAATTTATTTCCAATGAAGCTAAATATTATATATCCAAAGATACATTTGAATAACCTATTTTAATCCATTCAATTCAACTAATAAATACAGTACCGGTACCTGTATAACTTAAATCTTTAATAAGTGTTCAATTTTGGATACTACACTGCAGTACTTGTCTACTATTATCATTCACTGATTTAAATGTTTGGTGTTTTAGTGCCATTAACATTTTTTTAAGGGTTTTGTAAAGGACAGTTCAAACCATGGTCTGTTATCTAAAAAATCGATTATGAATGAAATCCCATTGGAAATAAAATCAATTAAATGGATTGATGTTATTAAATTGTTTATATTTCTTGTCTTGTGGATGAATGATTAGAATATATGTAGGGTAAGTATAGATGTATTGGAAGATGTATTTTATTACTATTATGCTATACCAAGGCAACACAACTGCCAGTTAGGTCCTGACCAGGGAGCACCTCCAATTATAAGGTTGTTTATTCATATTTCAATTTTTTTACTCAGAAATTGCACTTGCTTACTAACTTACAAGCAGGAAGTACGTCTTACCAGGTTATGTTTCCTCTATCAGTCTCGTCAGTGCTTGTTAGAGATCTTCCCATCACCCAGGGATGACGGGGTCTCTGCCCCGACCACGGAGTAGGACCGTTCTACCCTTGTGGATAAAACTGTCGTGGAGGACTCGGGCTCTGCCCCAGCAGCTACAGGAACAGGAGTCACTACATACACCTGAGGAATACACCATGTGGTAAATATCTCTTGGTTCATTGTGAAATTGACTTTAAATTTCTCATATGCATAGACCAAAATCATTTTACTTTTGAACATTGAAGTATTGTATTCGACAGTCAGTAAGTAATTTACATTAAGTACACTTGGTCAGTGGTTCATTTCAACTACTGTATTCTATACCTGGCTATAATATTAATAGGCTAGGCATATTAGGAATATAAGTGACAGTTAGAGGAAAGTTTAGGTACAGTCCTAATCATCACTTTTCTTTATGTTTTTTGGGTCGCTGAACACGAATATGTGGTTTGCTGACAGATATTTTGCCCGGAACATTGGTTATTTTGAGAAAAACCTTAAAATTTGGGCACTTTTTTGGTTTTTCGGGCAAATCTCGGTAAGTATGGGTTTTTGAGAAAATCCTGCTTTGTGAAATTAAAGATGACAAAATTTACTACAAGTTTCCTATATAATGTTTGTTTCTACGACGAACCGTTTCGCCACTAGAGCACACTAAAAAAGGCCAGAAGTACAAAAAATTAAAAACATTGCTAAATGCTGCCGTTTTACATTACGTTTCCATGGAAACAACCCATGTTAGGATAATTTGAACTATTTATTCATGATAACAAACTGAAACACACTAAAAAATACCCCTGCCGCAGCAAACCTGCAGACTAAGCGAATTTCTATTTCCCTGATTGGATTTACACTAAAATGTCTCCTTAGAAATATCACATTTATTCCCTATTTAAATGAAAGTTTAACGAGTACTTAGGTTTGCTGCAACAGGGAGGGTAAAAAGGTGTTTTTGTAAAATGTAATAATTTATTATGAAATGAATGCATTTTCCAAATTTGATCAAAATATGTTCATAAACAAGCAAACTACAACAGTTTACTTAGTCTCCATAAGAATAACATGGCCATTTTACATTTACAGATTTTTGGAATTTTCTCCGTAACCGTTAGGCACATAACAACGCTTAAATAAACTAAACTATTTGTTTTTTTAAGCTCTACAAAATGGTATGGAAAGAAATCGCTAAATTTTAAGTTTATAGGGTCAAAAATAGGAAAAACCAATTTTCACCCCATAAAACCCCCCATAAATCCCTGTTCCCATAGTCCGATCATGCTGGTTCGCGAACTTGTTTGAATAGACGTAGGTTTACACGTTTTTCCCAATTTTCATCAAAATCGGATGATTTTTGCTCGAGTTCTCGAGTTACGGAGAAAATTCCAAAAATCTGTATATTTAAAATGCCCATGTTATTCTTATGGAGACTAAGTAAACTGTTGTAGTTTGCTTGTTTATGAACATATTTTGATCAAATTTGGAAAATACATTCATTTCATACTAAATTATTACATTTTACAAAAAACATCTTTTTACCCTCCCTGTTGCAGCAAACCTAAGTACTCGTAAAACTTTTATATAAATAGGGAATAAATGTGATATTTCTAAGGAGACATTTTAGTGTAAATCCAATCAGGGAAATGGAAATTCGCTTAGTCTGCAGGTTTGCTGCGGTGGGGGTTAAGTGTGTTTCAGTTTGTTATCATGAATAAATAGTTCAAATTATCGTAACATGGGTTGTTTCCATGGAAACGTAATGTAAAACGGCAGCATTTAGCAATGTTTTTAATTTTTTGTACTTCTGGCCTTTTTTAGTGTGCTCTAGTGGCGAAACGGTTCGTCGTAGAAACAAACATTATATAGGAAACTTGTAGTAAATTTTGTCATCTTTAATTTCACAAAGCAGGATTTTCTCAAAAACCCATACTTACCGAGATTTGCCCGAAAAACCAAAAAAGTGCCCAAATTTTAAGGTTTTTCTCAAAATAACCAATGTTCCGGGCAAAATATCTGTCAGCAAACCACATATTCGTGTTCAGCAACCCAAAAAACATAAAAAAAGTGATGATTAGGACTGTACCTAAACTTTCTGCTAACTTTCCTAATATGCCTAGACTATAACATAGTTATATACATATAGTCAAAGAATTAAATGAAACAATAATTGATTGTTTACTGAATTAACTGATTGTTTACTGAAACAAATGATCTATAACTTAAAACTCTAAAAAAAATTGTTTCATACTGCATCAAAAAGAAACATGCTTTAAGGGTCTAAAGTAGCTCTCTTACTCCCTAGAGAGTAAAAAGACTTTTAAGTCCCTACTCCCTAGGTAGTAAAAGGCAGCTGTTATAAACACAGTTTTATAAACTTTGATTGTAAGCAATCGAATGTGTCGAAAGTATGTACCTATCGGTTGTTTTAATCTGTGTAGCTTATTATTGCATTCTTATCTTGATAGTATAGTGTACACTACCAATCCTAATAGACAAAATGATTGAATCATTTACTAAACAGCTGCTTATTTGCATTAGCAAAATTGAAAACAAGTTGGAAGTTGTTTTGAGAGGTTATCTTTACATGAAAAGTATTTTAGTTTTATAACTTAAATTGTTAAATAATGTTGCAATATGACAACTAATAAAGCTCATTACACGGACAAAAGTGTCTTTTGAACCCTCGCTCATTTGTCAACCTTGACTTCGCCTTAGATGAGTAAAGGATGACTGTTCGATGTTCGAGATTATATCAATATCAATCAATTATATCAATTATTTAAGATGGGGATATAGCTTTGGTACTGACTAAAATTAGCTGGGTCAAAAAGAGTCACTTTACGCCCTAGTGTTGAAATATACTAGTTATCCTCTCCACTGTTTTTCACAGCATATAAATCTGGGGTCTTCTTATTACTGATTGTTTTTAATACTGAATTGTTCACTAGAAGAAATAAAATATACCTTTTCATTGGTGAGGGGTGATATAGATACTTGTATCTTCTCCCACACTTTGGAGGTGGCGTCAGTGGATTGGGACTCTTGGGTGACTATCTCTTCTGTCGTAGATGAAGGTGCAGCCATCTTGGTATCCAGCAAAGACCAAGAGTTCAAGAGAGATTCAACAGTTTCGGTTGTGTCCTCAGACTGGTCAACGTCCTTGGAATGAGTCTCAGGATGCACTTTGACTTGATGCTTTTGACTTTCAGCGCCCTCGTGATCAGAATCAAAGTTGTGTCTGTAAGTTTCATAGTGTTCCTGTGATGTATTGAAAGAAGTCGAAGGCTCTGTGGATGTAAGGTATTCGTCAGGAATCTTCTTAGAATTAAAAATATGAGTGATGGGGGTGACAGGGATGAAGTTTACAGAAGGCGAATTTTGCTTGTAACCCTCTGCAGTCCAGTTGTCGATATTCTTTTGCAATCGGGCAATGTCAACTGAGTCTTCTTCGCCTCTTAAGAGACCTTGGAGGTTTGACACTAAGAGTTGCTGCAGCTCCTCTGGACCAGAAGGCCATGTTCCCGGTTGGTTTAGATGCAAGATTTGGTTTATGACATGAGGAGGTAAGTTGACGAGTGGACCATTCCCTGAAGGTGGTATTTGCTGAGATGCCAAGTTATCTGAACCCGAAGCACTTAGTGGAACATTTGAACTAACGTGGAAATTCCCACTCGGGAACAAGTTCTGTTGTGGCTGATCTAATCCTGTTGTTGATGAAAATTGACTTTCAAAAGGTACATAAGATGGCACTTTCCTCCCTTGACTGGTTGGTGGTAAAGGAGTCCAACCGACGTTTTTTTGTGGATCTCCTGCCAAAGTTGATGGCTGATGTTTATTTGTGGTGTATGGAACAATTATTTGATGAATCAATTTCCCTTTCTTGGACGGAGCTGGTGTCGGTCTAATAGCAAACCTGGGATTCTGAGGGGACGGAGTAGGAACTGCAAATGGTTGTGGAGGAGTTGTTCCCCAGCCTCTTCCATAAGAGTGAAGAGTCCAGTCACTTATGGCACCTGATCCTACTGGCGGAGGGTTGAGGAACCGCAGATCTGAGGGAACTGGTGGAATACTACCTTCTGGTTTAGCAGACAATATTTGATCCTGTAAAGAATGAGGTAATGTTTCATACGTAGGTTTAGGACTTATCTTCCCTTCAGTTGTTGGACTTGACGTTACATAATGTCCGCTTGTTGAGAATCCTTGTGATGTTGAAAACTTGGTTGTTGTCGATGTGGAAGTTTGTGGAATTGTGCTTGGTTTTTTACTGATGTGAAAAATTTGGCTTGGTCTTGTGGTGAGCTTTTGAGTTACTGTAGTTGGAAGGAAAGATGAACTGGTAAAACCTTTTTCAGTTGTCTCTTGGTTCTTACCAAGAACATTCTCATCAGGTTTATGGTTGTGTGGGATGCTGTTTGTTGTTTGTAATTGGTTGTCGGAGAGTTCTACGTTGTCCAGTCCTGTTGTAGAACTGTAAAGCGTAGATGATCCATTCGTATTGTGTAAATTATGATTGACATAGATTGGATTTGGTTGAGTGTAAAAATTAGATGGATTTTGATTTTGATTGTAAAATTGAGGGAAGTTGTGGTAACCAAGGTCAAAGTACTTTGTCAGATCAGGAACATCCAAGATAGGCGCTTGAACAATTTGCATTGGATATTCTACTGATGCCAGGTATTCAGCTAAAGGAACGCTTTTGACAACTTGTACGTTCGGTTTCTGTTGATCTCTAAAATTCTCCGTGCTCTTGATTACATTTTCAGTTACATGTTCAGCAGGTGCAGGTTCTGAATCAGGCTGACTGTGCTCAAGACACTTTTTACAATTGTCTTCAGTTTCAGTTATTGTAACAACAACATTTTGTGGCTTTGGAGGTTGAAGGAAAGGGTGCAGTTGGTCCTGTTTCCCATCATTAAATGTTTGATAGTTAAATAGCGGAGGTAAAGGAGATTTGCTCATAAAAGGGAATGGTATTGGATTCTGTCCAAATGAAGGTCGCTTGTCAAGTTCCCCTCTGTATTGATGAGGTCTGTTGTTGATTGATAAAGGTGGTGGTGTCATGTTCACTGGAGCTGAGGGCTTTGGACTGCTTTGTGGCTGGGAAACAGGAGGTTGTTTGGGAGAAACGTTTGTGTTGAATGGAGGACCATACTTAATCGCAGGGAGTAGTTGTTGATTTGGTAAAGATGGCCCCAATGGAGGGACAACTTTAAGGGTGGTCGGATTGTTGTTTGATGATGACGTGTGTTGAGTCTGTGGTTGCGGTGGACCATATGGTTGTGATGGTGATAAGAACCTTTGAGGTAACGGAGGAGGTGGAAGTCCATCCTTTTCATTGTCTGGTGGCCCATAGTGATTAGATGGAGGGCCATTGACCTTAGCACCACCTGATGTAGGGGGGCCATACTGGTTTGGAGGTTTCTGTGGTGGTCCATATTGTGATGATGGAGGTGGAGGATTTTGAGGTGGAGGTCCATATTGAGGTTTTGATGGTAGAGAATGTTGAGGTGGTGGTCCATATTGTGATGTTGGTGGTCCATATTGTGATGGTGGTGGTGGAGAATTTTGAGGTGGTGGTCCATATTGTGATGGTGGTGGTGGAGAATGTTGAGGTGGTGGTCCATATTGTGATGGTGGTGGTGGAGAATGTTGAGGTGGTGGTCCATATTGGGGTGGTGGAGGTTGTTGAGGTGGTGGTCCATTTTGAGGAGGTGGTGGACCATATTGCGGGGGTCTCATCTGACCCATTGGCAGCCCGTAGTTGACAGGCAGGGTTAGTTGAATGGTGGGTATAGAGAGAGCATACTGATGTGTACCAGTATTGAGCGCCCGGGCCATGGGCACCCAGGGTACACGATCACAAGGGTTGCATTCTGAGGACCTTCCTCGGTGACTAGACAAGATGGGGATGGTAGGTGCTGCCCAGAGGATGGCCCTGGCTTCTTGCTGATGAGCCTCTGGCTTCTGATCACTGTCAGGTGTGGAACTTGGACTTGCTGAAGAGTCGTTCCTCGGCCTCCTGATGAGCGTATCCAGTGGAGAGCTGGGTTGTGGAGGTGTCAGGTGTGCCACTGGCTCTGGAGGTAGACTGGAAGTGGCGACTGCCACGACTGGCAGGATGAGAAGTATAAACTTCATCTGTAACAGAAAAGATATTTGTATTACTCCTTATTGAACATTTTAAGGGACAGAGCTGAGCCGTGTAAAACAGTTGCTTGAATAAAACAATGAATGTATTACTAGCTACTTTGCGCACAGTTAAAGTAGATCAGTTTTCAATCATTTTATTTTTGAAGATTGTAAAACCATAAAGAAACTTGAAAAATCAAATCATTTTTTCTTTAGACACACAAACTGTACATTAATGAATGCAATAGGTGTGTGGTGTCAACTTAGCCACAGCTGTGTTGCCTTTAGTCCATACTTTATTTTAATCTATCTATATATTAATAGGCAAGCATGTTTCTTTAAAACCTTTTTTCTCAGCTCGTGTGCATCGTAGGGAAAATCTACGCATACCGTTGGAAAGCTATTTTCCTGTAGGTGTGCAGAATCCCTTTATAAATTTAAATAGGCTCAAAGATAAGCACAAAAAATAAGTTTAAAAGTTGTAAAAAATTAACATGGATCTTATGCGTTGCTATGCTGGTTACGAAATAACAACGAAATATAAACAGAAAATCAAAACAAATGGAGGAAACTCCAATCACATGTTTTATTTACAGTGTGGGGTGAAAATAGTTAAGTGAGTACATTACATATTTTTGGTCGAGTTTCGACCACTGGACGACCTCTCGTATTTATTATTTAACAGCTGTTGCTGGTTTTTTCATCATTCATTTGTAAATAAAACTTGTATCAAGATATTCGTTCATATAGTGGTGATATTATTTCATATAGACTAAACATCGCTATAGGTGGATTAGAGGCTGTGTCATCATTAATGTCATCACTTAATACTAATCTAACGATGATACAAAATAATATTCTAATTTATAAAAGAAATTCTTTAGTAACATCCTCTTAATTCCTACTTTAAAATTCTTTCATAACATTCTCAGATATCTTGTAGGCCTACTATTTGGTTGAGCTACATTTAAAACTAGCTTGAATATTGTCATAAAGGCCGCTATTTACCTATTTGTAAATTATAAAGATTACTTGTGGGACTATTGTAAACTAAAAAAAATAGACATTAAAAAATATAAATACATGCTAAGGCCAATAAAGATAATGTCTTAAAGATTTGCGTTTAATACAATCTGTGTTGTACCGCCCTACTGGTTGAATATTAATTAGACTATCAGCCTAATAATGGAATCTTTTTTATAAAACAAACAAGGAGTTCGAGATGGCATAGCCCAGAGATGACAATGAACATAACTAAATAAGACAGCTAACAAAACATCGGTCGAAACAGTTAATTTTAAATGTCTTTAAATATAAAGGCCTTTAAAAGGTTTTTGGGAGATAAAATCAATAAAAAACCATTTCAAGTTGATCATCACACCTAAAACTGTTAAGAAGTTTGACCAGACTTAGTCTTAGAGTTGTTCTAAGCCATTATCAGATTTTAAGTTGTCATTAAGCAACAGTTTATTGGCTTTACACCTGTCGCACATTATTTTAACACACACTGCAATGACTTTGTCTCGCATACACAAAGTAAAAATTTAAACACACATCATCTGGATATATGAAATACTAGCAGAGTACCCGTCCTTCGTACAGGATTGGCATATAAGTATAAAATGTTTATTGCAGTTATACTCAAGCTTTGCGTTTGCAATGGGTGAGGACACAATTTGAAATAAAGTTTGCTTCTTTACATTATTTATGGTATACTATATAGTATTACACATATCCCATAGCCAAAATATTCTACCTCTTCACCTAAAAAATAGGGAAAAATAAATTATTAAAGATTCGCAAAATATCACAAATTATTCATGAAATTAAAAACATAAACATAACTGTAAACAGTCCTACTTTGACAGTTATCATTGCATATCACAGTTTTTTGTTGCTGTTTAGTTTAAATAGTCAATGGTTCAAATTAGCTGTTCATAAAAGCAAAAAGAGTTATAGTGCTGCACCCTGTTGGCAAATCTTATTGAGCGGAGCGAGCGAAGCTCTTATACGTCGACTTTTATGCATTTCGTAATACGCAAACTCCTCCTAGACGGCTGAATCAATCGTTTTCAAATTTTGCATGGTGATAAAGACCATATCGGTGAGTGCCAACATCTATATAGCGTTAAAAAAGTCTCTCAGGAATCCGTAGAAAAATGAAACTGAAAATCACATTTTTTTAACATTAGTCTTATGGGTTGCTAGGTAACCATGTTGGCTGAATTAAATAACAAGTAAAAAGTAAACAAAAGATTTGAAGTTTTAGCATGTGCTCATAATAAGCCAACTACCCACAGTATACTAGGAAATTACAAATACAGTACAAAAGGAAAAACATCACTTGTTAATATTGAGCAAAGATTATGATTACTCGATACATTGTAGTCAAGGGTAGCAGCACAGACAATATAATACTTTATTGTCTGTGGTAGCAGTGCGAAGTCTAGGATCTGTTTATGACGAATACATTAAGGTATCTGCAATCCTAAAATGCTATGGGAAGGGAAGGAAACAGGTCCGTGACGTAGGAAGTAGTGAAGGAAGTAGTATAGGCAATCATAAAATGCTATGGGAATAGAGGGAAACAGGTCCGTGACGTAGGAAGTGATGAAGGAAGTAGTAAATGCGAGCAGTCCGGAGTGTGGGGACTGTTTATGACGATAAGATTAGGGTATCTGCAATCCTAAAATGCTATGGGAAGGGAGGAAAACAGGTCCGCGACGTAGGAAGTGGTGAAGGAAGTAGTCAAGGCGAGTAGTCCGGAGTGCGGGAACTGTTTATGACGATTAGAATAAGGTATCTGCAATCTTTAAGTGCAATAGGAAGGGAGGGAAACAGGTCCGCGACGTAGGAAGTGGTGAAGGAAGTAGTCAAGGCGAGCTGTCAGGAGTGAGGGAACTGTTTATGGCGATCAGATAAGGGTATGGGCAATCCTAAAATGCTATGGGAAGGGAGGGAAACAGGTCCGTGACGTAAGAAGTGGTGAAGGAAGTAGTCAAGGCGAGCTGTCTGGAGCGTGGGAACTGTTTATGATGATTAGATTAAGGTATTTGCAATCCTAAAATGCTATGGAAAGGGAGGAAAATAGGTCCGCGACGTAGGAAGTGGTGAAGGAAGTAGTCTAGGCAAGTTGTCCGGAGTGTTGGAAATGTTTATGACAATTAGATTAAGGTATCAGCAAACCTAAAATGCTACGGGAAGGGAGGAAAACAGGTCCGCGACGTAGGAAGTGATGAAGGAAGTAGTCAAGGTGAGCTGTCCGGAGTGTGGGGACTGTTTATGACGATTAGATTAAGGTATTTGCAATTCTAAAATGCTATGGAAAGGGAGGAAAATAGGTCCGCGACGTAGGAAGTGGTGAAGGAAGTAGTCTAGGCGAGTTGTCCGGAGTGTTTGAAATGTTTATGACAATTAGATTATGGTATCAGCAAACCTAAAATGCTACGGGAAGGGAGGAAAACAGGTCCGCAACGTAGGAAGTGATGAAGGAAGTAGTCAAGGTGAGCTGTCCGGAGTGTGGGAACTGTTTATCACGATTAGATTAAGGTATTTGCAATCCTAATGCTATGGGAAGGGAGGAAAACAGGTCCGCGACGTAGGAAGTGGTGAAGGAAGTAGTCAAGGCGAGTAGTCCGGAGTGTGGGAACTGTTTATGACAATTAGATTAAGGTATCTGCAATCTTTAAATGCAATGGAATGGAGGGAAACAGATCCATGACGTAGGAAATTGTGTAGGATGTAGATGTGTGGATTTATGCATCTCCAATACTACGGTGCTTTCAGAGTGAACTAATGATTTTCCCCGAGCAAAGCTCGGTCCCCAGGTACTATAATCAAATGACGTCACTAGCTTGAGGTTCGTGACGTATGAAGAGGTTAAGGAAGTAGTAAAGGTGAACAGTCTGGAGTATGGAAACTGTTTATGACGATTAGATTAAGGTCACAACGTTCCTAAAATGCTACGGAAAGGGAGGGAAACAGGTCCGCGATGTGGGAAGTGGCGAAGGAAGTAGTAAAGGCGAGCTGTTCGGAGTGTGGGATCTGTTTATGACGATTAGATTCAGGTATCTGCAATCTTAAAATGCTATGGGAAGAGAGGGAAACAGATCCGCGACGTAGAAACAGGTGAAAGAAGTAGTAAGGTGAGCAGTGTGGAGTGTGGGAACTGGAAACCGTTTGTAGCAGTTTTAATGTATCTGCAATGCTGAAATGCTATGAGAAGGGATGGAAGCATGCCCAAGACATAGGAAATTGTGAAAGAAGTAGTAAAGTCTAGCAGTACGGACAGTGGGGATGTTTGTTGCAATTGGATTAGCGTATCTAAAATACTAAAATGCTATGGAAAGCGATGAATACAGGTCCACGACGTAAGTGGTGAAGGAAGTAGTAAAAGCTGGCAGTGCAGAGTGGGGGAACCGTTTGAGCAGATGGATAAATGAATTTGTAATACTTAAATGCTATGAGAAAGGAAGGAAACAGGCCAATGACGTAGTAAATGGTGAAGGAAGTAGTAAGGCTAACAGCGCAGAGTGTGGGAACTGTCTTTGACAATTAAATTAATGTATCTGCAATCCTAAAATGCTATGGGAAGAGAGGGAAACAGGTCCACGACGTAGGGTGTGGTGAAGGAAGTAGTAAAGGTGAGCAGTGTTGAGTTTGGGAATGGATTAATGTATCTGCAATGCTAAAATGCTACGGGAAGAGACTGTAGACTGTAATATGTTAAAATGATTACGAAGCACAAATCGATACATATTTTCGATACATGCAATCGTTTACAATCGAAATTTACAACTGAGTTGACAACAGCTGATTTTTACTCCATAGAGGCTAAAAACGATTTTTACTCCCTAAATATTAAAAATGCTACTTTAGACCCGCAGCGCATGCATGAAAAAATACTGTTTTACTGCAGTAAGACAAAAACAATATAATATGAACCCTTGATGACTCCGCTCAATTTTGTGGATGCCTCTGCGAACGCCACCTAGTAACTTTTAATGCTT